TAAAATCGCCCTCAAAACTAATGGGGAGCGACAATCTGGGTGTCTGTGCTAGCAGTCAGTGTCAGAGTAAACAGAGTTGCTATGGACTTGAGCAGTGAGAAAAAAATAATGTTGGTTCTGTTGGATTTTCACCCTCTCTGATGACGCGTGAATGCAATTTGCAACCTCTCTCCTCCGCTCGGAAAACAAGGTCCTTGTGTCAGAGATCCAGAAATAACTGCTCCCTCATCATGAATTTAAATATCCAGCTGGGATTTCAGATTGCAGCTCCAGAGAGCAAAGGGTAATGCATTAAAGCCGATGCCTCATTAGTGCCTTGAGCTGCTATCCTGGGCTCTGCTAGGTATAAAAACTTTATGCTAGCTAGAATTGTTGATAGGACGGAAGATGAAAAATTTAATGATCTGAGACTGTAGCAGGTTTCTTAAAAATATATTTCGAGGATAGCAACCTCATCTTCATCCTCCTTCGGGGGAACTCAGTGCCAGAGCACCTTTTTTGCATGCAGAAGGTCCCAGGTTCGATCCCCGGCATCTCCAGTTAAAAGGATAAAGGAGGAGGAGGAGAAAAAGAAGAGATTGGAGGGGGGGCTACGCACTCCTTCACTACCCAAAGGAGTCTCAGAGCGGCTTACAAACTCCTTTCCCTCCCCCTCCCCACAACAGACACCCTGTGAGGTAGGTGGGGCTGAGAGAGCTCTTGACAGAAATGGCTCTTTTTCAAGGAAAACTCTTATCAGAGCTACGGCTTGCCCAAGGTCATCCAGCAGGTGCAAGTCGAGGAGTGGGGAATCAAACCTGGTGATATGAAAGATCTCAGCTTAAAACTCCGGAGAGCTGATGCCCGTCTAAGTAGCTAATACTGACCTTGATGAATCAAAGGTCTGATTGCGTAGAAGGCAGCTTCATGTGTATCCTGCTTGATGGCCCCGTAATTTCATCCCCTTTGACATGGCACCAGTTGTGAGACAAACAGATAACAGCAACTTCTGAGACTACTAATTCTGATCAAACTTTCTCTTTCCTCTGCCTCTACCAACAATAGGGACTTATAGATGGGGTTAAGAGGAGTCAGGTGTTTTTTTTTAACAAATAGTTGTTTCTCAGTCAACCTGTGACACAGGCCTATTATGCACAGGTGTTTCCCCTCGCTTTTGCCATGCATCTCCAGCAGGTTTTCTTTTTCATTCTGCATTGATTCCCACCCCCACCCCCCTTCAGCGCTCAGTTCACTTTATGGTCGCTGTTTCCCTGGGTGTTCTGAGAGTGGTTTTGTAACAATCTTTCCCTTGTTTCACTTTCAAGCCAAGGGTAATTAAAAAGTGTAGAGATTCCCTTGGACCCCCCCCCCCATGTTCCTTTGCTTCCCCTCAAAGGTCACTCCACCACCCACATCGAGGTCATTCTGCCTACTCCGCACCTTCCGATGGGCTCTCGGTGTACAAGTTCCAGTGATTACTTTTCCCCTTGTTGTTTTACATTTTAATTTTGTTTTACAAGCTGCACGACTGTAGCAATCTGAGACTATCACTAACCTTGGATCACTGAGGGGGGAAAAGAAAGGGTGGGGAAATAACTATTGAGATATATGTCAGAGTGATAGAGGTAGCAAGCAGTTACTATAGATCAGTTTGATCTGTTTGTCAGACCTAGCTGTCATGCTGGTAATCATGTAATTACAGCCAGGTGTTTTCTAGCAGGTGTTACTCTTCAGGGCTTGTTAGAGTTAGTGATTGCATCACCCTGTTAGAGATTGGCTGGGGTTTAGCATAATAGCTATCAGTTTAGTAAGCTGGTGGGGACTTAGTTCTCATAGACTAAGGCACGACATGCTGTTCAATAGCCTGTATATATTCACCTTTATAACTATATAAACTCTCTGTGCACCTTCATAACCGGTCAGTCTCCTGCTTCTTATTTACAACACCCAATAATAACATGCTTCTCTGGCAGCTCTCCGGGAAGCCTCTTCGCAAGCTCTGAAAAGGGGAGGGAGGGGGGAGGGAAAGACCGGCATCGGGTTGTGTGTTGCCATGAAGCTACTTCAGACAGCACAATTAGAAGAAGAAGAAGAGAAGAGATTGGATTTCTACCCCGCCCTTCACTTGTAGTCTCAGAGCGGCTTACAAACTCCTTTCCCTTCCCCTCCCCACAACAGACACCCTGTGAGGTGGGTGGGGCTGAGAGAATTCTGACACAAACTGCTCTTTTTCAAGGACAGCTGTGCCAGAGCTTGTGACTGACCCAAGGTCAGCAGCTGCAAGTGGAGGAGTGGGGAATCAAACCCGGTTCTCCCAGATTAGAGTCCGCACACTTAACCACTACACCAAATTGGCGTAGATTCTTATCACTGCATTGCTGGACTGTGAAGAGCATGTGCCCGGGGCAATGGACAGAGCTGTGGTCCTACGTGAAGTGCCCAATGCTGGACTATGGACTCTACACTGTGGCCAAGGGAAGCCTTGTGCCAAAGAAGTATGCCAAACCAGATGCGGACCCGGGACTACAGAAGCTTTCTGCCCTGTACTTCTGCGTCCACACAAGGACTGTGATGCAGACCCACAGCCCTGGCCTCCATGAACACAGACAGTAGCAACCCTGAAGGGAATCCATGTTCTTAGAGAGGGCCCACGTTCCTGCACAGAAGCCACGAAGAGATCTCTTCTCCACCACATAGCCCATTCCTTCCCCTCCTCTTCAGCCATTCTCAAACAAAGACTGTTGCCCAGCTAAAGACAAAAAAAGTTATTAAGCCTTCCTGCCACCTATCCAAATAACAGGGTCCAGCAGATGCCAGGGTCCGGCATACCTAAGGGACCGCCTTTCCCCATATATTCCCCAAGGGCACTACGGTCGGGGGCTCTTCATCTTTTGGTTACCCCGGGCCACAGGGACGTCAAATTCGTGGCAACCAGGGCAAGGGCCTTTTCGGTGGTGGCTCCTACCTGGTGGAATGAGCTCCCGGAGGAGATCTGGGCCCTGCGAGACTTTGCACAGTTCCGCAGGGCCTGCAAGACGGAGCTCTTCCGCCAGCCCTTTGAGTAGGAGCCGCCGCCGCCACTAGACCACCAGCGCACCACCGCCATAAAGGTGTGGATACCATCAGGGTGCTAGACAGCCCTGGGATGAAGACTGGATGACAGCGTCGCTTTGGAACTTGCATCATTGTTCTGGGTCTATCTTGCCAGAACCCATCTTGGAATCATGGACATTTGGAGCACCAGCACTTCACTGTATTATTGTATTATTGTACTGTTTTATCTTGTTGTTAGTTGTTTTTAAGCATGGCCTCAAGCCCTTATTGTTAGCTGCCCTGAGCCTGAGGGGAGGGCGGGATATAAAGGTAAAGGTTCCCTTGCTCGAAAGCCAGTCGAATCCGACTCTAGGGTTGCGGTGCTCATCTCCGTTTCAAAGCCGAAGAGCCAGCACTGTCCAAAGACGTTTCCATGGATAAATCGCATAATAAATAAAATATATAAAAGAACATCTCTGCCAAGCATCGGATTGTTGATGTGAAGCAGCGGACCAGCCATGTGATTGGATCCCTCTACCCTCTCCTTTGTCTCACTCCCTTCCCCAAGAAGTGTCAGTCCCTGCCGACCATCAACTCTCAATTGCCCAACTGTCAATTCCTTTATTTCACCCATCCAGAGTATTGTTACTTCCTGGGAACCAGTGACCACCTGGCCATTGCCTCAGGTCACAAATTGGCTATTTAAGGTGAGCTCTCCCTGCGTTCTCTATCTTCTCTTTTCCCCTTCCTACATTGTTGATTCCATCCTTGTCCGGTTTGGAATCAGTCCATGTGTGTCGCTGGTTGGCTGTCACGGTAGAGCCAGGGAGGCAGGCAGACAGGGGGAGTCACAATACAAGTCCAAAGGTCAGCTGGGAGAGCAGTCAGCAGAGCATTAAACAAGTCCCAAAACACCGGACAAAGCCGTAGTCAAACGTTACCAGAGGTCAGAGTACAGGGAACAAAGCCGAGGGCGTGGTCAGGTTCAAAGCTGGAAGTCAGGAGCCAGAGCAATCCAAACACATGCCGAGTCCAAAAGCCACAGAGTCAAACAGGAATCAAGATGCAGAGCTTCTGGTTCTACAAACGAGTTTGACAGCACAAATTGCTCATGGCCAGAGGCCCTACTAAATAGTGCTCTGGCCCATTAACTCATTAGCACCTTTGTGCGAGATCCTGGCTGCTGTTAAAACTCAGGGCTCAAGGATCTCTGCCCTCTTGAACATGCTTCTTTTCGTCGGCTAGCCAGCTCCTGACGTCTCTGAACCCTAAGCCTACTTACAGGTGGGGGAGATGCAGGTGGTGAGCTGCTTATGGCCTGCTCAATCCCGGGTGCAAACCGTCCTGTAGTTGACTCAGATTGCTGTGTATCCTCCTCAGTACTTACAGTAGGTGCAGATCCTGATGCTTCTTCAGCTCTTAAAGGCACTGAATCCTCCCCTCTTAGGCTGTCAGGAGCTGGCTCTGGGGCTGAGTCAAGGGCAGGCATGACACTGGCTCACAATTCACCACCACCGTCATTTGTCTATTTTTCACTGCGTGTCTCGACAGACAGGTAACGTATCACACACCAACGATACTCCTGCTCATGCAAAAACCACTATCTTTTCAACTCTGTATTCTTAGTCCTGTATTGTCCATGTGAGTGCTTGCTTGAGAATTATTCAGTAAAAAGACCAATATTTCTAGCAACCCGGTATCCTCGTCTATCCATGGGCTCTGGGAATCCTGACTTTGGTATACACGGGTTATGTCCCTATATTTTATGCCTGTTGCCATTTAATATTCATAATTCCTCAAGTTTATTAATAGCATAAGGCAATTTGGCTAACACATGTGCCACTGATCAAGCCCAGCAGCATGTACTGGGGCCACCACCAATACTCAGCTGTTGACCATGGGATAAATGGAAAGAAAGATTTAACCCAGACAGCCTATCAAAAAAATACCCAGCAAGCCTGCAAGGTGTTTTGGCCATGAGCTCGGTCATGGGTCCTGGCTCAGCCGAGGCTGACTATTCCTCAGACGAAGAAGAGGCACAGAGCAACCCAGCCAGAACCAGCTCCAAAGAGGAACCTTTGCCAGCACCTGAGGAAGGAGAGGCTCCAGCATCTGAGGTGCAGCAAGACAAGCTTGAGGTGCAGTTGGAAGAAGAGCCTGGCCCAGCACCTCAAGGTTGGAGTCCCCACCTAGCTCACCTGAATGTCCCAGATGCAGGGCATGCCAGTGTTGGGAGGTGTGGGAGAGACGGAGGAGTGCCAGACTTCAGCTGTCGCAAAGGCAACGTGAGGGGCCGTGAGTCTTTGCAGGTCGCCTCCCAGGGAAGGGAGGATCAGAGTATAAGCAACCACACTCACCTGCCTCGGTGCGGATGCAACCATGCAATCTCAGATCCTGTCCCGGCTGCCAGCCTCCACTCTTCGCTCCTGAAAACGCTGACTGATTTCCCGGCATTCTGACCCTCAGCACTGTTCCTCGACTTGCTTTTGGACTGTGAAGTATATCCATGGTGACCAGCCAGAACCAGCACAAGCGCACTCTTTTCGTTCTCGCAGCAAACTGGATTTACAGATTTTGGATCCAGGAAGTGGGGAAATGCCTCCGAGTTCCTTTTTGGAAATCAACTGAGATGTCGTGCTGGAGGGTTCCCCCCCCCTTCTCCCTTCTCTTTCTCCAGCCTCCTGCCCATGAGTGCATGGAGATCTGGCATTGCAGTGCACTCTCTTGCCTCTGGTGGATTTGAATTAATGTTTTATCGCTCGTCTCGTGCCACTTATTTTTTAAAAAATTACGCTATGAGGAAAATAATTTCAGAGAAATTCAAAATGGTGCTTGTGTGGCAATGAAACGAGGTGGTGGTGGAGGAGGGTGGTGACGCTTTTCTATTTTTCACAGTGGCCGATAACACAACAGGGAATCCACCAGAGCTTGGTGAAAAGAAAAGGGAGCTTCGCGGTGGCGAATCGCAGTGGCAAATCGCAGTGGCGAATCGCAGCTGCTCTAGTCAAAGTCAAAGTCAAAAATAGTTTGGTCAGTTTCAGGATTTTTATTTAAAAAAAAACACAAAAACCCTTTGCCTGTGTTCCTTTGTGTTCCCTGCCATTCAAGGAACTGAACCAGGAGGGTTTAAATGGAAGGCACTTACTTGGTGCTACTGCGCAGATGCAATAGGGCAATTTAAAAAAAAAAAAAAAACTTTGGATGCTACCCCACACACATCGTGAGTGACGTTCCCACCCCAGCTGAGAAAAAAAAACTGTGGGTTTTTTAATTGTTGTTGTTCTAGCTGCAGAATAAATACGGGCTCTTTCTGTAGCAGGAACTCCTTTGCATATTAGGCGACACACCCCTAACGCAGCCAATTCTCCAAGAACTGACAGTAGCCCCTGTAAGAAGAGCTCTGTAAGCTCTTGGAGGATTGGCTACATTGGGGGGGGGGTCGCCTAATATGCAAAGGAGCTCCTGCTACAAAAAGAGCCCTGTTAAGTGCGTACGGCAGGCACAAAATCCGAAATCAAGTTTAACGGCCCGATTGCTGGGCTTCTCTGCTGTAAGCTGTGTGTGTGTAACAGGCCGCAGTGAGAGGAGCTGAGAGGTTTGGCCAACGCTTTCCTTCTGGAGATAAATCAAGATGAGTAGCCCTGTTAGTCTGTCTGTAGCAGTAGAAAAGAGCAAGAGTCCAGTAGCAACTTAGAGGCTAAAAAAAAAAATTGTGGCAGAGGGGGCAGCTATTATGCATAATCGCAAGGCGGGTACCCTGTCAGGGCCTTGTGCGGAGGTGATAAATGACACCGGTGCCAAAGTGAAAAACTGCCTTTTTAAAATACAGCAGTTACTAAGACTAGGAACTGATCCTAACCAGATTAAATCCAAAGGACGCCCCACCACCACCAGCTTCCCAGCACCTCATTCTGTTTTCTAATGAACACCTACGGCACTGTATAATGATACACCTCTGGGGCATACTTGACTTGAGAGGTATAAAATCTACATATGAACATCAGAATGTAACAGAAGCCAATGCTGGATCAGGCCAGTGGCTCATCCAGTCCAACGCTCTGTGTCACACAGTGGCCAAAAATACCAGGTGCCATCAGGAGGTCCACCAGTGGGACCAGAGCCACTGATGGACCTTGAAAGGATCAGAACTTACGGATCTCAAGACTGTTGTTGCTTGTGACCAATCTGTAAGTTTTTACAGGTCAGTTGCAAGGCTCTTTCTAAGCTGTGGAGTCCTGTGAACAAAAATTCTACTTGGTGAGCTCCTGGCATTAAGAACATAAGAACATAAGAGACGCCAATGTTGTATCAGGCCAAAGGCCCATCCCGTCCAACACTCTGTGTCACACAGTGGCCAGAAATACCAGTGCCATCAGGAGGTCCACCAGTGGGGCCAGGACATTAGAAGCCCTCCCACTGTTGACCCCACCCAAGCACCAAGAAGACAGAGTATCACTCGCCCCAGAGCCCCTATCTATACCTTGTGGCTAATAGCCACTGATGGACCTCTGCTCCATATGCTTATCTAATTCCCTCTTGAAGCCGTCCATGCTTGTAGCCGCCACCACTTCCTGTGGCAGTGAATTCCACAGCGAAGTTGCGAGCGATTTGGCTGCTGCGTGAATTAGTTTGCTCTGGAGCCATCCTTCCTGAGCTAAGACAAAAATCTATGAGCCGGAGGCTAAAAAACTGTGAGCTAGCTCACATGAACTCATTTTAGAGGGAACACTGGTCAGTTGCAGCCTGTTTGGGCTGAACATTAATCAAAAGCACCTGGAGGCCTTGACCAGCTGGTATAAGACGCCTTTATCTGGTTGCCAGCTAGCAAGAGAGAATAACCAACTATGCCCTGATTGGCTAATGGAGCTGTTGGGGCTGAGGAGACAGAGGTTGAAGCCTCTATGACTTCCAGCCAGAATGTCCAGGACTGTTCCAGTTGGAGTGGATTCTGGTCGAATCTGCATTCGCATTTTAAAATCGGTTTCGTGCTGCTGTGACGCACCGGCCTAGTTAACTAAATATATATTTCCAAGCATATGTGCATGATCTTCAAGGAGGCAGTTTGCATTGATATTCCTTTTGATTGTAAATGGAATGCATGCATGTGAATTATAATATTCTTATTAATACTGTTTGGGTATTTGATGTATATTAATGTTAGACCCAATGCGTGTTTTTTTACTGGTCAAACGTGCAAAGCCATTGGGGGGGAGGGGCTCCCTCCCTCCTTTCCCCCCCCTGCCTTTATTTTTAAACTGCAGACAATGCCCAGTGAGTGATTTCATTATGGCTTGGATGCTCGGTGTTTCTCTGGGGAATTGGTTTCCCAATTTAGATTAATTTAAAACCTCCTCTTTCTCATGCACAACACAAGGACGGAGAGAGCCGCATTAGATCCGCTTTGTTTGTTTTGTTTTGCATGGCTAGGCCCTGATGAAATTTTCCAGCCTCGATTTAGATGAGTTTCACTGCGTGCTTGAAAATCAGATAGCAAGAAAGCGGTCCAAAAGCTACTCCAGATAAAATGGCCGGCTCTCTGCGCGTTCTAAAATCAGATAGCAAGAAAGCGGTCCAAAAGCTACTCTGGATTAAATGGCTGGCTCTCTGCACGTTCTAAAATCAGATAGCAAGAAAGCGGTCCAAAAGCTACTCTGGATAAAATGGCCGGCTCTCTGCACGTTCTAAAATCAGATAGCAAGAAAGCGGTCCAAAAGCTACTCTGGATTAAATGGCCGGCTCTGGATTGGGAATTACTGGGAGATTTGGGGGGGGGGGTTTGAGCCTGGTGAGGGCAGGGTTTGGGGAGGGACCTCAGCCGGGTACAGTGCTATAAAATGTACCCTCCAAAGCAGCCATTTTCTCCAGGGGGACTGATCTGTATCGTCTGAAGATAAGTTAAAATCACAGGAGATCTCCGGGCCCCACCTGGAGGTTGGCAACTGTTGCCCTGCAAGGCACTTAATGTGCTCTTATGGACTATAATTCATAAGTGATAAAAATGGACTGTGCAAAGGTATGCTTAGGGGACTGTACTGCACGGTGACCCAATGTGATGCCAGTTGAGACTGCACACCTGAGAGAAGAAAACCTTCCTTTTGCGTTGCTGTTCCAGTGGGTCTCCGAGGTTACCTGCCCTCTTACCTGTTGTGAGATGGACCAGTTCCCTCGCCTGCATAGCACCATGCCATGCCAAGGCACAAGGACAAAGAGCTCCAAATGCCATTAGGAGCTCCTTCTGACACACGCAGGCAACCCCCTTCCCCCCCCTTCCTCCATCTACCTGCAAAACTGCATGTAACCAAGAGGCTCGACACACGGTTGCTTGGCAACTGATCGCTCGCCCATCAACGACCCAGCTAGGACCATCAAGAGACAATGGTCCTATCCCGATGACTCATTTCCTCTTCATCCAGATGCCAGTCCCCAGTCTAAGTTGCTAGTTCTCAATACTGACCCCTCCCTAGCTCCCCTCCCCTTTCCCCCTCTACCCAATGGGTATGTTTTCAGGGATGGACTAACAAGAGGTGTGACAAGGGGGTGTGGCCAGCTCTACCTGCCCCTCCCACGACACCTCATAAAAGGAAGTTGCCCTCCCCTTCCCTTCCGCTTCAGTTTCATCTTATATGGGACCTCTCTTCTTCTTCTCTCTTACCTGGGCTTGGAGCTGGAGCAAGGCCCCGTTCACACAGAGCATTTGCCACACTAAAGATACGGATGATAGGCAGATTTTCCGGGCACACACCGCAGCATCTGGGAAGCGTAGTGCACCCGTGGCTAACCCGTGGCTTCTTGCCAAATATGCGGAGTAAAAAACTGGTACATACGATGTGCTAGTTTCCGGAAAATGCGGGGCAAGGGCGGGCGTCTGATTGCGTTTCTGCTGGAATCCCGTGGCATCCGGCGCCCGCCCATGTCCCGCCGCAAACTGGATGGGTTTTTTTTAAGTCTCCACAGAATGCGCACAAATGCACAAACTAATGGGGGGGGCAACTGCCAAGTGTACCCCAGTGAGAGAATCCTCTTAATCCTTTCCCTCCCAGATTCCCTTGCGTGCAGAGTTACAATATCCAACGGATAGTCAGGCAGTGGGCCTATAAACATAGCTTCCTCCCCAAGAGGCCCAGAAAGACTTGCAGATACAAGCACGAGTTTACGAGATCCTGTGCCTTCACCAG